AAAATATGGGCAAATACCAGGGCTTTGACTCTACTTTTTTCAGATGTATTTTTGAGAGATTTTATATAGGTCAAAGGGGGAAAATCTAACTCATTCTTCTGGCATTGCTTTCATTATTTATTTTATTCATTATGAATTTATTTCCTCTTCTTCCAGGTCTGTTTTGAAGGATATATATTGTAGGCAATATATCAGAAGAACTCAAAAAGAGTTGAGGCATAGCTACTGACTTAAAAAAAAAATAAGGAAGATTTTTGCCAGAGAAGAAAACTAGAAAAGATTAGGATACTAAATATCTGGAACACCATCAATGGTGATTTTTTTTTTAAAAAAAATTGCATTACTAGGTTTGGGAGCAGGGATGAAAGGAGTCAGTATACAGTAGAACCTCTGGGCACGAACACTTCTGACCACAACCAAATCAGGTTCTGACCAAAAAATTCACATTTTTTTTTTTTTTTTGCAGCTGATTTCCCCTTCACGCCATTTTTTTTTTGTAAGCGGCAAATTTCCAAAATTAGGTTTGGGTCACGACCAAATTGGGTTGTGACCAAAGTTATGGAATGAATTATATTGTGACTAGAGATTCTCCTGTATTGGAAAGCTAGATCTTGAAAGCAAATAGCTAGCAAAGAAACCTTCCATTGTCAAAGGCAGCATAGCAATTTTGTCTGCAACACTGGGAAAGGGGACCAACTTAAGTCCAAAACCTCTAGAGAATTCCTAGTAGCCTGGCACTCATACTAGCCAGCCATCAACAGGCACATAGAAATAAACAACATCTACAGGCCATTCAATAGAATAGAATAGAATAGAATAGAATAGAATAGAATAGAATAGAATAGAATAGCATTCTTTATTGGTCAAGTGTGATTGGACACACAAGGAATTTGTCTTCAGTGCATAAGCTCTCAGTGTACATAAAAATACATTCATCAAGAATGATAAGATACAACACTTAGTGATAGTCATAGGATACTAAATAAGCAATCAAATCATACTAGGAAACTAAAAAAAAATCAAGAAAGCTAAAAGACCACATCTCCTTGCCAGTAATCAGCATTAGATAATACCACGATTTATACTAGACCATCAGCCAAGCAGTATACAATACCCCAATCAAAGAATTGCCAACTCAGACATAGAATAGAACGGAATGGAATGGAACAGAAACTAGAAGGGATCTTGGAGGTCTTCTAGACCAGCCCCCTGCTCAAACAGAGAACCTATACCACTTCAGACAAAGAACCTATCCCATTTCAGGCAAGCTAACAGCACACAACAGCCTAATCAAGGAAGTACCAAAAACACTCCCATCAACACTGACAGGGCAAGCCGCTAGTAAATAAACAGAGAGCATTCCCTTCTAGCACTCATGATGTTTCCTAGTTGGATAATGAAACATCTGCAAGAAAACAACCAAGCTCAGAGAGCACCAAATATTTCCACACAGTGGATCCATGCCATAACTAAACAAGAAGAAAAACTACTGTCAAGGAGGCAGGGCATAACCTCCTCCTCCTCCTTGACAGTAGCTCATCTCAGAGTACTGGAGTGTCTTAATTCTTTCAGAATATTGTTCCTTCCAGCATATTAGCTCATAATGCCACCTAACAAGGAAGAAACAGGATGGAAACCTCCACTGCATCTGTCTCCTTTTTGGATACTGTGGTTGTCAGTGTTCCAATTAACAAACTCCAAACTTATAAACTCTGAGACAGGCATTTTCTCAAAGTTCCATTTTATTAGAATTGTCATATTAGCACATCTGGGAAACCTGAATCTGAGAGTTCCGGGTTTTTCCTTCCCAATAGAAATTCAAAGATCCATCCCCTGCACCCACCAGTCCATTACATGGCCCAATCAAACATCCTCCCAACTGGAGACCTTCCTCCAGACACTCCTCTCCAGGTGCAGGGTAACATGTCCTTGACTTCCTGTGAAAGAATGTTGTTGAGTCTAATTGCCCAACTTTCTATGGAACACCCCCCGCCCCCAAATTCCCAGGCACTAAATGTGGCAGCCTCGAAGCTTCTAAGTGAAATATGGCTTCCAAGGCTGACAGTGGTCTTGAATTGGAGTAGACTTTTCACTGGGTACAATGATGCACAGGAGTTGAATACAGGGGACAGAACCTTTCTAGGCCACTTAATGGGGGAATCTATTTAGTGCTATCAGATGTGGGCTTCAACAATTGGGACTCACTAGATAGCAACAGACTATAACAGACAACCCTTCTGATATCTAGTAGATTTCCAGGTCTTTTTCAACCCTGATTTGGTAGCCTCATTTTTGTTTCCTTGTTTGTTTTGGAAAATTTCCTCCAGAATACTTTGTGTATTGATTAAAGGCTATATTTCAGAGAGCAATACCTGTTGCAGAACATTATTTAAGAGAACATTTTGTAGAAATGACCTATGGATCCTTTTGTAGGCATATCTTTAAAGTCTCTTCAGAAATAGTTCAATAGTTAACAGCACTGATGGTTTAACAAAATCATTGGTCGATGAAAGCAAATATTCATTCACTAGTAACTGGAAAGTCATTTTAAAGAAACTCTTTGGAGATTAAAGAGAGAGAATGTGCCAGCCTGGTTTTTATCCTTCTCATTCCTGTTTCTAAAGAAGGTTGGCTTAAGAAGAGCGTGTGTGAAGTCAAAAAATATTCAATCAGGCTCTTTTATAGGGGAATCAACTGAGGTCTCTTTCCTTTGCCAGTTCTGCTTGAATAAAATGGAAACCCAAAAGCTGCTAACTCTTATGCTTAAGCACTTCCAAAATTGAAAATGATTCCTAATAGGCATTCCTGTGCCGCCAAAACGATTTAGCATAATGTGCTGAATGAGATTGCGAAGTCAAAATATCTTTTCCTAAGTGATTTTCTTGCTGTGTCTCTGAATGTCAGAGGCAAAGAAGAGGACATCGCCTGCTGAATATCATTGTCGGTTTAAAAGTTTTACACTGAATAATTCATCCTTAGGAAAGAATGAGCTTTTCTTCCATGCATAAGATAGAAAGGCTCAGCAATACTAATCACGTTGCACTAAAGACTTGCACTGGCCCCTCTTTGGTACCACTTTGGCTGCTAAAGCACAGCAATCCATCAATCTGTTGTTTTCCACCATCTGCGCTGATGATCAGCAGACCAGTGTTGATATCATGGGTGAACCCCCACTAATTCCTTCAATTACTAGACCAGGAGATGTAACATTTGAGGTGAAGTAGGATTAACCCAAATTTTGTTGGGTCATGTTGCCATGCCCTCTCATTCAAGTGCACTGACTGTTGACTGTGGGGGTCCTTGGTGCTCTCTGAGCTTGGTTATTTTCTTGAAGACATTTCATTACCAACTAGTAACATCATCAATATTGGAAGGGAGTGACATTTTGCCTCTGTTAATATACAGGTGACTTGCCCTGTAAGTGTTGGTGGAGGTGGTCTTGATTAAATGATGTAGGATCTCCTGCTTGGGTGTGGGGAGGGTTTGGACTAGATGACCTATAAGGTCCCTTCCAACTTTCTATTCTATTCTATTCTACTCTACTCTACTCTACTCTACTCTACTCTACTCTACTCTACTCTACTCTACTCTACTCTATTCTATTCTATTCCATTCCATTCCATTCCATTCTGATTGGAGTGTTGTTCGTGGCATATAAGCAATACCTCAGTCAAGGAACTCACCTCAGGCAAACAATGAAATAATCATCAACAGCCTGATCTAGGAAGTACCAAGAACATTCCCACCAACACTGATAGGGCAAGTCACTTCTATGTCCACAGAAAGCAAACTCCATTCACTTCTAGCACTGATGATGTTACCCAGTGGGGTAACGAAATATCTGCAAGAAAACAACCAAGCTGAGAGCACCAAGGATCCCACAATTCAGCCCTGAGCTACAATATTATCTTTTATTGGTAACTGTTGACTCTTAGTTAGATACCGGTTCAATGTAGGAGATGAATAATATCCTCCACTTTATGATACAAGTCTGTTAGTGGGCCAAAACAGTCTTAAAGGCATATAGTACATAACTCTATCCTTCTCCTGTGGATGGATGCTAATAGAAGAACTGTAAACATATTATTACTATAATTCCTAATATTTGTCACCTGAAATGCCTAATGGCTGTGATACTCTGCAGGTTCTGATCCCATTATGGATACAACTATCATCAACAATCACTACATCACAATAAAGAAAGGTTATCAGTTCAGGAAATGTGACCACCAAGCAGGGGTGGGATTCAACTGGTGTTACTACCAGTTCGGTGACTATGTTTGGCGTGCATGTGCGCACTTCACACGCACATGTGCCTGATGTGCACCATGTGCGTGTGTAAAAAAAACCTTAAGCTGTGTCACCTGGACAGCTGAAAAAGGGCTACGCACAAGTGTGCAGCATTTGAAAAGCTACTTTTTCCCTGCTTTTTCTACCTCAGCCCTGCTGTGCAAAGCAGCTGAGACTGAAAAAGCAGGAAATAAAGGACAGGTAAGAGCCCGGGTGGGTGGGTGGGCCAAACAGCAGCAAACACCGAACCGGTTCAGTGTCTGCTGCTCCTCAGAGCTACCGGTTCTATAGAACTGGGCAGAACTGGTAGCATCCCATCCCTGCTACCAAGTGTTTCGTAGAGCACTCCTTTAAAAAAATAATATGGCTCCAATTTTTGGCTATTCAGAACGTGCTGCATATTTGATAAGATTGCTACTAAAAGTTACCATTCTTGTACCAGACAGATCAGCCCCGAAGTGTGAAGCAGTCCTAGAATGACAGTTGCTAAGATAAAGTGTGTAATATTTATCTCAGTTCTGTTACATTATCTGACAAAATCAGATTAATGCCTTCGTGAAACCATTATTTGAAACTCTTGCTTTGAAGTTGCAGTTTCAGATTATAGGCAGCGGCAAATTGGCATGGTAGCACATGCATGTTTGTGTGCGTGTGCTAAATCTAAATAACCAGGTTAAAAGAAAAGGTTGAGCTCTTCAGCTCAGTCTTACCTCATCGTAGATATTGTCATTTCTGTCAAAATCACCTGGCTTTCTTGGAAGTACATGAACATGAACGTGCTAAAAAAAATAAATAATCAAATTCAAGATTAGCCAGAAGTTTTTAACACATCGGATTATTTTTTCAAATGCTCTCAATTCTTTCGTGTGGCGTTATTGTTTTTAATGATCCCTTTTGTAAAGCGTATCTTTATTTGCCATCTTAATCTAGGGAAGCATCTTCATAGGAGCCCAAAAGGCAGTTCATACATGGTAAATAACATAAACAAGGAGCCCAGAGAGTTAAGTAAATAAAAATAGTCGATCTTCTGAAATGTATGGAGGACAGAGAAAACTCCATGGTGATGGGGGATTTTGAGATAACGATGAAAGGTACTGGGGAATTACGAGATGCCACTCTGCATTTCAATTGTTATTGAAATGACAGGCTATCACCTAGCTGTCAAGTTAAAATGATAAGTATAACTTTTTTCAAACTAGATCTTTATAAACTCATTTAACTGAGAATGGTGCAATCTAGCGGAACAACATTTCTCATTTTGGACTTTAAAGAGATTCTACGCTTATCAACCTAAGCCAAGGTTCACCAATTCCCACTTTAGATGTTTACAAATAAATGATGCAGACACCCCCCCCCACAACTTATCTATCACACTTGACACAGAACAGAAAGTTGATGGAGACAAACATGAGGATGAATCATTATTATTATTAATATGTTGTTGTATGCACAGTGACTTACAAAAACATATTATGTACAATTATAATTTCCTCAAAGGATCTGGATCATACAGTAAATAATAAAAATAACAACTAAATGATAACTACCACATTAAAAAAAATCCAACAGCTAATGGCATGATCATCATGGAGAAAAACAAACTAATGCAGTTCTTAAGAATCAACATTGATTTGATTGCAATAACCAATCAATCATGGCAACTTGCCACACAGCCTAAATACTCTCTCACAAAGAGCCCTACAGTATTTTTTCCAGACATATCCAAACAGAGCTCTTTGCATATGTGTCTATGAGGGTGCCTGTAAAGAGTATGGGAGTGAAATATAAGCAAAAATAAGTTTACCACAATGGCACTGGAAGGACCCACAATGAGGTACATATTGGGGGAAAGGAAGTCCTGCTTACCAGGACTGTGCAAACAGTTGAAGAAATACTTCGCAAAATTCATTGGTCCATGCACCTTGCACTTCCTTGAAGTATTGAAAGGATTGAGTCTTCCTTTCAACACATCTGCTTCAAAGGCTAATCCCAGCTGTCTGCATGTGCCCATCCAGGCACAACTGCTTTTGCTGGTAATCCCAGCACAGCTATTGTGCTCACTGCTATTAAAGCAGCCAGTCCCAAAGTTTCCAGAGGATACAAAGACTTTGATCTTTCAAGAAGAAAAATTAATCATTTCTTTCAATGCCCTTGGGAAGTACTTCTTTTCAATGTCTTGGAAGTCCTATTATTCAATGCAGCTAATTCACATGACAATAAAACCCAAACCTTGGTTAGAAAACTCAGTCACAAAATATAATGTGTTGTGTTCTACAATATAAATCATAGCATGGCTTAATATTATGGCCTGGGTCATATAAAACATTGAAATAATGATTGATTTCCCATGATACAATGGATCACAAATGACCCAGTCACAGTTATGTGTAATCTAGCTAGACAAAGGTATGAAATATTTGAATATCAATATATTTATTAAGATTACTGGTATGATTATGGTTATTACTGTATCATTACTTAAAATTAATTGTGCCCAGACAACACGCTGTTCAGACAGACATGGAATTTTTTATGTTTTTAAAGAAAAAATGTACCAATAAAACATATATTCAAAAAAAAGTTTAGTGTGAACTGACCCACTAATGTATTGGTATATAATATTCTAGGTACATCTGTCTCTGTGTCTATGTGTGCACCTGGATAAAATGTATCTATGTGAACCTGTCTCTGTATCTTTGCATGCACCTGTCCGTTAGCTCCTTATTTAGAAAATGAACTATTTCTTTTAAAATCCACATATAAAAATATTATAAGCACATAAAACACAAACACAAATGCGAGGCACACAAAAAGGGGCACACAACAGTAGGAAAAATTATTAAAATCAATTACAAGATACATTGTAACATTTTTTTTAAAAAGAAAACATGAAAAACAGATAAAAGATACTGAATTAAGCCTCAGATAAAATAAACATATGTGCGTTTGTACAAAACGAACTTTGCCGAAAGCAAAATGGTACAGAATAAATTACTAATCAAGATTCTTGGGCAAGAAATCTTGCAGCTTAAATATACAACAATAAGATAAAAGCAAGAAAATGAAATATTGGCTTCGGCTGCCACCTATGTTTATTTATTTATTTTCAATTGTGTCTGATTCCTGGAGACTGACAGGAGAACTCCTGCAATTTTCTTCGTAATATTTTTTTCAGAAGTGGTTTGCCATTGCTTCCTTCCTAGGACTGAGAGTAAATCATTGGCTCAAGTCACTCAACTGGGGAATTCCCAGTGTCCCAGTTAACAACCTGATGTATTCAGAGGCAAAATAAACTTCAGAAATATTTCCGAAGTGTGAAGCCAAAACTTAATTGCCACTAAGCCTGTAAAAATACTGTATACTCCACATTAATTCAAACAACTCAGAGTATTAAATTGATTTACATTGTTTGAACTTTTTCTATATGTGTGTTCAGTGATCCAAACTGTACCAGGTTTTAGAAAATTTATATCTGAATTGATATCTCCACAATGAAGTGGACCAATTTATTAAATTGATGTGTGTATTCAGATTGAATCAGGCCTGATTTGCACATTACCCCATCTCAAAAAAGAAAAAAGGCAGAGGTGGTATTCAGCAGGTTCTGAACAGTTCTGGAGAACCGGTAGTGGAAATTTTGAGAAGGTTGGAGAACCAGCAAATACCATCTCTGACTGGCCCCGTCATATCTATGCTCTGCTTCCCGAGTCCCAGCTGATTGGCTGGGTCTTCTTTTGTTGCCCTGCAGAGGAGGACAGAGCTGGAAAGCAGGTTAGTGGGGTGGAGAGGGAATGGGATTTTGCAGTATCCTTCCTCTGCCAGGCCAACAAGCCACGCCCACCAAGCCATGCTCACAGAACTGGTAGTAAAAAAAAACCTGAATCCCACCACTGAAAAAAGGTATAGTTCTAGAATATATCTTTCTCATTGTTCTTGGCTGAATGAATAACTATCCCTGCCACCAGTTTGCAAATCAGAAAAACAGAACATGGTGCTATTTGTATCTGAAATCAACACATCCTAAATTTCCAAACATTATTTCCTAGTTGTTTTTCTGGCTGGACATCACAGGAGGCTCTGTATGTATCAATAAAATTTAGACTTATCTAATCTCTCCCCCAACTGCGATTGCGTTCTCTTCGCTGATGAAGAGAAAATAGTAAAACTATTCAACACCACAGATAATTCTGCTACCCTTCAAAAAGACCTCGACTATGGTCAAGCAAATGACAACTTCAAATCTCAACAAATAAATGCTCTGTCCTACATATTGGCAAAAAAAATCAGAAAATAAAATTCAAGCTGAATAGTCAAGACCTTGTTGATGATCCAAACTCTGTCAAGGACCTTGGAGTACTCATCTCTAATGATCTAAGTGCTAGAGCCCACTATAACTACATAGCCAATAAGGCATTAAGAGTTGTTAACCTAATCCTATGTAGCTTTTTCTCTGGTAATATTACACTAATAACTAGAGCATACAAAACATTTGCTAGACCAATACTTGAATTCAGCTCATCAGTCTGGAACCCACATTACGTATCTGATATTAGCACAGTTGAGAAAGTCCAGAAATATTTCACAAGAAGAGTTCTCCACTCCTCTACTCATTGCAGAATACCTTAAGCCACAAGACTTGAAATTCTAGATGTAGAAAACTTAGAACTACGCCGCCTTCGGTCCGATCTAAGTATAGTATATAAAATCATACATTGCAATGTCCTACCTGTCAATGAATACTTCAGCTTCAACCATAACAATACAAGAGCACACAATAGATACAAACTCATGATTAACTGCACCAAACTTGATTGTAGGAAATACGACTTCAGCAACAGAGTGGTCAATGTCTGGAATACTCTACCTGACTCTGTGGTTTCTTCCCCAAACCCCAAAAACTTTAACCTTAGACTATCTACTATTGACCTCACCCCTTTCCTAAGAGGTCTGTAGGGGGTGTGCATAAGTGCACCAATGTGCCTACCGTCCCTGTCCTATTGTTTCTTTTATTTTTCTTATATGTATCCATGTATTCATAACTATGTTTATACTTATACCTATTATCTTGTAAGCAATTGACAAATCAAATCAAATAAATAAAAAATAAATAAATAAAAAACTGGGCTAAGATCAGCTTATGAAGGCCATTTGCTGATTGGTATACAAATACCTTTGCTGGGACCAATTAATGGAGTTTGGTTTTTTATTTTTGTTTTTCTCAGAAGACTAATATTTTATCTTTTGTTATGATCACTATCATCTACACTTTTTGGTTATATAACTATGGTAAAAATGCCAAATGAAGGTAAAGACACTTTTTATTTTAAGCTTAAAAATGGTTCATTTGAGTAATGCATCAGCGATAGTGTTCTGATCGTGTATAATACTAATACATCACAAGAGCGATAGTGCTCTTATGATGTATTAGTGTAATACATCATCCCAGCATCATTGCCTTGATGATATATTGCTCAAAACCACATTATGAGCTTAAAAGCCACTCGTTGGTACTCTTGGGCCCTCATCTACACACTCACTTGGAAAACTAAAGATTCATTGAAGAAAAATAGAAGATAAAGTGATGCTTATATATTGATTGTAAAAGTGGTAGTAAAATTAGAATCCACCAAAGAAATTTTTAGCTTCTCATTTGGCCCTACCTTACACGATTAATTGGAGTTTCTTCTTTGGATAGCTAGGCTTCAGTACACTATTAAGTTGTTTAACTTTTAATTAAAATCGATAATATTTAAGGGTATATGTGCATATTGTTTAAGTT